AAAAAAGTCGAGTTTATAATTGTTGTGATATCAAATATGACAGGTGAGCAACATCTTATTGATGAATCTATCAGAAAAAAAAAAAAAAAAACGTGTTCGTTGGCCATATGTCTTCCATATCTTTTGCTTCTGACACTGTAATAAATAGCACGAGGAAAAAGAGAGAAAAAATTCAAATTTCATAGAAAAAAGAGAAAAATTCAAATTTCATAGAAAAAAAGAGAAAAATTCAAATTTCATCAAGAAGAAGAGACTAAATTCAAATTTCACTGAAAAAAAAAGCAAGCAGTCTATTTTATTTTATTTTTTATGATGTACAGTGTCCATTTCATGTCTATTCAGTTTTTTTTTGGTATATTTTATTTGTTGAATGCATGATTTTCGAATCATTTTTTATTGATAGAATGTGTGAAATGACTAAAATGGACTGAAAATGATGAAGATAATACCATAGAAAAGAGGTCATAACCTCTTTTTTTACTACCTAAAATCTATTTTATGAGCTATTTTTATGTGAGTACCATCCTACCTTCCTTTAACCGCTATATGTTACCCTATCCACTAAATAGTAAATGAATGAATGGATGAATGAGTAAAGGAAGGAATAGAATGGATCACTTTTTCTTTTTTTTTATTTTGAAATAACTACCAAATAACCTTCAATGAACTCTTATGGACCCGATCGTAAAGTTCGGTTGTTTAAGATAGCACTCATTTTAAATAATCTTTGTAAAAAACTTTTCGAAATTCAAAATTGATGGATATATATTTAATTAAAAACTGCAACATTTAATTTAAAAAGGTTTGGAAGAAATTATACAACCAAACCATTTGTGTTAATTAGCAATAATTAATGGCGTAAATTGTTTGTGATAAAAAGTAAAAAACATAAGATTGAAATTTTTTATGTGAAACAGAGAAGGCGGAAAGTTATAATTATCACCGAATTACAACTAATAAATGAAAAAATACAACTGGAAAGTAAATGCTTTACTCACTGAATTTATTAAAACAAAGTTGAAATCAAATTTTCATTTATATTTGGTGCAAAGCAAAAATTTGTAATTAAAATTTAAAACTTTAAAGTTCGTAATTTTTTTAAATAAATTTATCCCTGTAATACAGAAATAATGCTTATGAATTATTAATTCTAGAATAACACCGTAATCAAAAAGATTTTTTTAATAAGAAAAGTATCAATACCTTTCAATATTAGGTAAATATCCAATTAAATGCTATTATACTTTTAATAGAACTTAAACAATTAGCAAATGATTTATTTGATCTCACCATCTCTTCAAATCATTCAATCAGATTAACAGCTGTGTAAAACAATAAGCAAGCAATTTTAACCATAGTAATTTTGTTTATTTGTTTGTTTTTCAGTCCTTTAACAGCATCCTTTTGCATCTCTGACCTTTTATGCGACAAATTATTTATAGTAAAGGTATTCTTTGATTTATTAAGTTTACTAGATTTGGTCTAAATCTCATCTGTAAAGTATAAATATAAAATTTTTTTACCTTTTTTTTCAAAATTTGATCAAAAACCAATAGGAAATTTTTGATGCCAAAATAAGTTTTGTTGAAAAAAAATAGAATTTAAAAAAATTGGATTAAGTCTACATGTTGAGTACATAGTTAAACAAAATAGCCTTTTTTTAACTTATTTGTCTTTGTTATATTTTATTGTTTCCTTCATAAATACTATAAATTTCAAATTTTACTTATATTTAAAAGATTTTTAAAGCTAAAATTATTAAAAACATTACAAAAATCATATGAAGAAAGCGAATGAATCAAAAATTTTTCAACAATATGTAATTTTATTAGCAAAAAACTGTCACATTTATTATTTTATGAAAAATAAAAAGCATTTTTGTGAATAAATTTTAACATTTCTTTTTTTAGGAATTTTCTCTTTTTCTTATTTTTTTTTTACATCCAAAAATAAATATGGAAGTAAAGCTTATAGATTAGTTAAAAATAAAACCTATATAAGCTGAATGATCAATAAGAAACTTCCGGTTGTGCCCTCGAACAAACGGATACAATCGTTCCCCATCCTTCTCCTTCTGGTTTACACATCCTTTCCTGTCCTATACCCTTTCCGGTTTCCCATTCCATGTCAATTTCTTTGCAATCCATCAGAAAAGTATAAATGATATTTGGATGGATACATGCGAAACCTGAGTAATTATTTTCCTCTTCTCTTTCTAGAAATACGGCTACACTATAATTATAATATTGTTTGTATCTCTTCATCTCCACAATTTTATCTAAGCTTCATAACAACATTTATCAATTATAAATGATAATGAGCTTTCTCTTTTCTTTTCTTTTTTTTTTGATGCAAGGAAAAGAAATTTCCATAGGGAAGATTTTAAAAAAGAAGATAGAAGAAAAAGTAAAATTATTTGTTAAAAATCTGTAGAAAAAGAAGAGAAAGACTGAAATTTTAAATATTAATAAATGATAAACTTTAAGTTTGAACTTAAAATTTTGAAGTTAAATTTTATCAAAACATCTCAAAAATGATGAAATTTTAAGAAAAGACGAATGTGATGATATCAAATCAAACCACTGATGGTATAAATGATTGATAGTCCTTTACAGTTAAGAACACGTACAAACCCTTTTACACGTACGACTCTTTTACACAGACGTTTGCTAACTTTGTCTACAACGTACGATGATGTATTCAAATTACAACAAACAGTAAGTACGCAATGTACTATTACATAATAACCCTTTGGTAAACTGTTGCAAAAAAAATTTTATTTTTTGATCTTTAAATTACAATTCAACTTAACACACTTTTTAATTTTATAGTTCACAACAATTTCCTTTCCTTTATTTTTAAATTTGTTTTTTTTTTCATATATTCATCATATGTATTAACTAATTAATTCTTTAAAAAAGAAAAATGAAAGAAAATAAATAAAACATGAAATTTCAGGAAATATTTTCATTTTTGATATTAATTATGCTATGATAGTGCCGAAATTTATGGATTTATAGTAGACGAGAAGCATTGTAAAATGATGACTTCCAACGAATCCTTTCTTTTTATTGTCCTATCAATGAAGCGGTATTTTTGAAAGAGGTTGATAGATACACCTGCGTACTGTCTATATCATTGCTTGATCGTTATTTCAAGGTGTTCAAACCTCATCTTAAGTCGATACATAACCCTCAACCCATATATTTTTTTATTCATCAAATAGTGAAATTTCTCTAGGGAACAATCGACTCTTTATTATATTTTGTGTTTTTTTAATACTAAATTAAATTTTTGTGAATGAAATTGAAAAGAGTTTTGCTAATTAATACTGCTCATAATTAGCAAGTAGTAAAAAAAGTTCACTTAGGAAAAGAGTTATTTAATTCATAGATATCACTATTTACAATGATTTAATAAAAAAAAAAGAAATTAAATGATAACGATTTAAATCAAATAGATTTATGTGTTACGGTCGAAATAATTTTATTATCTTACGATAGCAATGAACAATAATTAAAATTAAAGAAACAATTGCAAGATTGGAGAAAAAATTTAGCAATAGTTCATATTTTTTCTAAGTTATTTCAAATTATTTTTGAAAAATTTCGCAGCAAATGAAGTATTCCTTTATGTGCTTTCTTTTCCTCTCGCATAATTCAATTTTAAATTTAAATATAGCTTTTGATTCGGACTTTTCTATATTTTAATAGTTGTTTAAAAAAGGAAAAATGCTTTGGTCATTAATTTTTTTCTCTCTCAATTCTCTTCTCTTCTAACAAGGAAGAAAAAGAAGAAGATTGGAACACTGTAATTTTTGTTTTCCCATGAGAATGCAATGGGTTGAAATTTGTAATTTTCGAAATTTGAAATTGTTGAAATTTTTTTGGGATGAAAACAATGTGAAATTAATTTTTCGAATTTTAAAAAAATTTGGAATTATAAAACAAAATACCTTCTTGCAAAATTATGTAACTTTCTTTTACGGGACAGAATAGGAAACAGAAAGACAAAAGATCACTAATAGTAATTAATTTGTGTTTTTTAGCACATTAATCTTTTAATGGAAAAGAAGTAAAACCACATTTCTATTAGTCTTAAACAAGAAATTTTGAAAAATTAGAAAATTGAAATTAAAATTAAGATCAAATTTGCTGATATTAATAAAGTGATAATAATTTATTTGCCTTTTTCCGGAAAAACTCAAAAGAAATTTGAATTTAAAAATACTTCCAAAAACGATTACTTATCAATATGTCATAAAAAATTCGAAATTAATATTAGTAAAGTAAGCATGAAATATCTTAAGTTATACAAATTATAAATAATATGTCAATACTACATCAGGAAAATAATCAATCTAATAAAATGTTAGTTTCGAAAATGTTAGGTTTCATATAACCGTAATTGAAACCGAAGTCTTTAAGCTTTAATTAGCATCAATATTGATGTAATTTTCAACTACTTTATCAAAAAATAAAATAAAATAAAAAATAAAATAAAAAATAAAATTTTTTTTATTTTTTATTTTTTATTTTATTTAATACAATGAAATTGGTTTTAAAATAGCTGAGATCCTTATGATAACTCAATGGGAATATAATAACTATACTGAAATTGAAAATAAAACATTCCCTGATAAAGTCAGTGTTTATTAATCAGTCACATTAACATTTTGGAGTTAAAGAGCGGATTTTTATCGAAATTTTATTCCGATGAAAAGAAATTTTTGTAACTTTCTCATTAATTTCAACACTATATTTTTTGAAAAAATTTGCTGTCGTAAATATTTAAAAGTTCATCGATTCAAATTTTTCAAAATTAAAAGTATTGGCTTGTGTTAATGTCAACAAGATGATAATAGGATGAAAACTTGTAATTTACCTATTCATTTCGAACTAAAAATGCATGTACCAAAAATCGTTCATTATAACATTTAATGAATAATACTGCGAAAATGTAATTATATTTTATGAAAATTTTTTAAAAAAAATACATCAAAATAAGCAAATAATATATATTTACTGTATATTTGCTAGAATTTAAATTTATTTTACTAATTTCGATCATTATTTTTGTTCCATTCTCAATCCATCGAATTCATGCCAATTTATTGAAATAACTTCAAAAATTAACTTTTATTTAATTTCGTATATTGCTGATTAACTTATCATTACTAAAGATGAAAGGAAAAGTATGTATGAATTGCAATATTTTGATAAGACTATGACTTGAAATCAATATCTAAGATAAAGGTTGCACTTCGAAATCTGACAACACACCAATGTTAAAGCAATAAGTTAGTTTCCATTTTCATTCTTACATTACTGATTGGCTTGTAATTAAGCAAGTTAAAAATAGCTAATATAGGATTAAAAAAGTACATAAAAAGCTTCAGGTAAATACAGATTTATCACCAAATATTAACTTGCAAAGATTAAAAATAAAAGTTAATCATTGATAATACACCTTTATCAAATGAAATAGCTTGGCAATCATCTTTTTCAGTTTATATTGATGCCATTATACCGTAGTTTAAATTTTCGAACTTTAATCATTGCATGATAATTTCTAATAATTAATTTCATAGATGCTTTCAATCAAAATGGTGCTGATAAACTTCAAATAATTTGCTAAAATGTTGTGAAGATTCGTTCTTCATAGTTTTGGCTACTTTGTTGAGTGGCAGTCATGAAGTGAGAATAAAAAATAAGACTGACCACTTACTGATATATACTTTGAAATGTTGTATCTTCAGTGTGCATATTGTTTATCATTAAGCAATCAGCTGTTAATATGTGACAAAAGCGCCTTACGTTGCAAATGCAAATCTTAGATGGTACTATAATAATAATATGTACGTTATATTTTTTATACTTTTTT